TTCCTGGCCTGTAGATGAGTGTAAACTGCAGATTCCTGGCCTGTAGATGAGTGTAAACTGCAGAGTCTGGCCTGTAGATGAGAGTAGACTGCAGACTCTGGCTTGTAAATGAGTGTAAACTGCAGAGTCCTGACCTGTAGATGAGTGTAAACTGCAGAGTCTGACCTGTAGATGAGCTGACTTTGAAAAATAAATCTGTTCTTTTTTTCTTACAAAAGTCTAAATAAAACAAAAATATTGGTGGTAATTTTTTCAGTTAGAGTGGGCTCTGAGCTTTACGGTGGCTGTACGGGTCTAAGAATCAAAATGAGGTTGAATCTGTAGAGAGTGGAGGCAAACAATAATAAGAATAACCTACAGTGTGGTTCAGACGAATAATTATCTCACTCGTCTCAGTTTCAGTGACAGACCTGGAAGCGGTCCGTGAGGGACACCAGTCTGAGGTCCTGCTGAGCATCGCGGAGGAGTTTCCTGCTGAGCTCTGCTTCACCTTCGTGTTTCACGGACGCCAAGGCAACCTGGACCTCGTGGCCGAGTCTCCAGAGGAGGCGCAGGCCTGGATCAACGGAGTCCGGAAGCTGATCCACAAAGCCCAAACAATGGACGAGCAGGAGAGGCTGGACCAGTATCCTTTGACTTCAGAGAAGTCCCCGTCCCTAATGGTCAAACCTCTCAGGTGATGTTTTGGTTTCCTCCGAGCCGGAGCTCTCCTCAGCTTCTTCCTCAGGTGGGTCCGAGACTGGTTTCTGAAAGCTGACAAGAACAAAGACGGTAAGATGAACTTCAAAGAGGTGAAGACGCTGCTGAAGATGATGAACGTAGAGATGAACGAAGAGCACGCTCTACATCTCTTCACGGTAAGAGTGAAGCAGGCATTAATCTAAGATTTGGAAACTTTCGCAGAGCTTTGAAGCTTTTCTCCAGGTTTCATCAACATATAACCGCTGGTTACGACAGACAGAACTGTGCAAAGGTCTCAGTTCACCATTAGGTCCAAATTTGATCCAGTGCTGGGGGATTGAAAAAGAAAAAAAATTGTGTAGGTCTTCTGGACGGGTTCTTCTCTAATGAAACGTTTCGTCTCTCCTCCAAGAG